TGTTAGCAGTGTTATCGTTATTGCCTCTTGTTTTGCTCCCTTAGCGCATGCAACATGTGCCTCACTACTCAGTCATCATATTCCACACACCTTAGCTTTACTGAGGGTGATAACAACCTGAGAATTAATTGACGGAGTGCTCAAAAAAGAATATTTCAGCCTAATACATCATTTGTTGTGATCTTTGAGGGTACCCAGCGTAAAACTTCTGTTTACAGGCATCCTCTGCGTGGAAGGAATCTGTGGTGGACCAGTACATATCGACTATAATTGCATCCCGTCAGTCATCTACACTCATCCAGAAGTTGCTTGGGTAGGAAAACCTGAAGAACAACTAAAGAAGGAGGTGAGTGTTAGCTTTGTTGGTCCCTTTCTTCGTCCCGTTTGTTGCAGATGAGCTAGAAAAGCTTCATTCGATGAAGAATTTGAAAATGTTACGTTATCCTCTTTCAGAATGTCGAATTCAAAGTGGGAAAATTCCCGTTCATTGCAAACTCGCGTGCCAAAACGAATTTCGACACCGAAGGATTCGTCAAGGTTCTTGCTGATAAGCAGACGGATAGGATGCTAGGAGTACATATCATTGGAGCGGTAAGTGAACGTGAACAATTAATCGTGTTTATTCTCTGCTGGGAGTACTACTTGATGGCATGGGTCGCGATCGGATTGGTGTGTTCCTTTGTTTGAATATAAGACAAGAAGTATGTGGGGCCGGTCGTGGTGAGAGACACAGCTTTGCGAGGGGAGGGAGAACGCGAGAAACCACCGATTACGGGAGGGGCCGCAAGCGAAACGTACAATGAGGGTGGTAGCGGTCGCAGAGGTGAAGCAATGGCATTAATTCTCTTGTCGCGCTCTTTCAAGTCACTACAGTGCCACCACCTTTGTGAAGAGGTCCTGCTGCCTCAGCTTAGGGAGCATTTCTTTGAAGCAACAATTCCAGATCGAATTCGCGAGGTAAAAGCGATCGATAATGAAGTCGACTGCTAATGGAAGAACTAAGAAAACTGCTGAGGGAGCCTTCAAACAGGGAGTCCATCTTTGTTCCTTTGAAATGAAGGAGGAGCGTGTCGACCAAGCTGTTCGAACTAGCTTGCTCTGCCGGCATTTATTGCTGGCCAGCAAGAAATGCGGCAGCGTTCTCGTATGCACCAATACAAAGCAAAACATGCACCACAGAACAAAAGGCAGGCGACATTCCTGGAAACGCAATCCGTATACACAAAATCGCGCAATGACGCACAACCAGCCACGCAATCGCGTAAGGGCCACACAGCCAATCACGCGATGTCCACGGCTAGCAAGTGGGCGGGATCAGAGCGTGTACGTCTTTAGCGGCTTTCAGCGGGTTCTGTTTCAGTCACTTTTTATGTTTAGATGACCGGGGCTATCGCCATCAGTTTCCACACCATAAGAATGCGACACCTCACTGGGACCTCCAGTCTCGCTCTCAACAGAATCTGAGTCGCGACCGGGTGTTGTGGCCAGGAATTAGCGCTGTGTTCAAGGTTTCATTAATCTTGTGTTGACTTATTAAAAGTTTATCTAGAATGCTGGAGAAATGATTGCTGAAGCTTGCTTGGCCCTTGAATATGGAGCGTCTGCTGAAGACGTTGCTCGAGTGTGTCACGCTCATCGGTAAGTTGAATGTTGTTTATTTTCGTGGCAATTTTGTGATTCTTCTTTCTCTATTCTATCCCATTACTTTTTTGGGGAACTGTTGCTTTCCATTGATTGAATATCTATACAATATTTGGGTACCATCCAAAATGTGATAGACTGAAATCGTATTCCATAGGTTTAAAGCCGAATTGAACTGCTTTTCCCGAAAACCATGTTTATTTTTTCTGCTCCTGCGCCTGTGATTCTTGATTTATTATCTTTCAGACTCTCTCTGAAGCTTTCCGTGAGGCAAATCTCGCTGCATATTGTGGAAAGGCTATTAACAGCATCTAAGTATCATATTTCGTTAATAGTTTGCAAAACTATGTTTTGTGATGCTCTATGCTCTAAATGTGTTTGCGCTTCGTGAAAACTAGTTGATAATTGTTTTCTATTCGTGTTTTTAAAATTAATTCATGACGATGATGTGTTCTTTGAGTTTAGGTTTTGTTTTTATGTCCCCTGTCCCAGTGGCTCAAGTTGTAGTCTAGTTAGGTACTCTGTGGTTGAGTCTGACGAGTAGGTGTTTAAGTAAGTCTTTATTTAGTATTAATAAAGCTAGTTTGATTGTGAACGACAATTTTATAATTTTAAATGGATGTCTATCGTGTGACGGTGATGTGATGGTTTTCATAGTATGCATCGCTTTCCGTAGCAACAACGCCTTCGACGAGTCGAATTATTTATGGCATGAAAGTCGTGAAGAAGCACTATTGATTCAATGCAACACAAAGCTGTTGTCACAAGTATGCACTCATGTATTTATTATGGCACGTACTGCTTCCAGTGCATAAAAAGGATAAAGGATAAAGCATTTGCCGTTGATCAATCCCTTTTTGGGATGCGGCACGCATTCTACTTCCATTTGTACATTCGTAGTGGCGTTTGAATGCGATGTGGCCTATACAATGACTTGCGGGGGCCAGCCGATGTACAAGTCAGTGTTTTTATCCTCCCAGACAAGTCTGGTACCAATTAACCGACCCCGGAGGGATGGAAGGCTTGGTTGGCCCGGGCGACTCACGACCCAGGATTTGATCCCCGGACCGCTCGCGTGGTAAGCGTGCCACTTGCCACTACACCACTTCCGCCCTGCTTCCAGTGTAATGTTCATAAATGTGAGAATAGGGGAGGGAGGATGATAGGGGAGGGAGGTGGGAGCACAACAAACAGCAGAACCTTAAACAGCGAAAGGTGAAGCACAAACAATATCTGGACCACCTCATGAAGTGAAGATCAATAAAATCAAGGCAATTTTGTAAGGTTACTATTCCTTGTTCACAAAACTGGAAGCAAAATCTTCATACAAATTCATGAGGGTGGTCTGAAATTTTGGTGAGGTCGACCGTAGTATGACGGGGGGGGGGTATCCGACAGGAAGCCCATCACGCGGCAACGAGGCAGAGTTGGCGGACGAGTCGCAGCACATGCTGTAGAGATTTCGCGTCAAGGCACCATTGTAGTCCACCATAGCACATTACGCGCTGCGCTAGCTCGTCGCGATTCGCTTTCTTGACCCGCGACGAGCTTCCTGTCGGTTACCCGACGGGGACACATCGCTGCGAGGAGAGGAAAAACGCGAGAGAACATATTCGAAAGGTTTGCTGATGTGCGCCATGGACAGAACGCCTTTTTTGCTATCTCTTTCCTTGTATGTTATTTTGTTCAGTTAGGTGAGAGATCCAGGGAATGAATGAGACGACGATAGATCAGGGGTGCGTTGCAGTTTTCCTCCTCAGCTCAGGTCACCTAAAATTGAGACACCACTCATTCGCTCGAAGCAAGCTTAGGACTAGCCTAGGCCCAATCATAGGCTTAAGCATAAGCCAATGTGTAAGCATAAGCCTAAACCTAAGTCTAAACCCAAACTTAACCTTAGGCTTCAATGATCGCGCAGCTCTGGTGACCTGACCCCAGGAGGAGAACCGAACGTCTCCCATGCTGTAGCGTCATCAGCAACAGATTGGCTGAGGAGGGCCATGTCACGTGACTCATCGGAAAAATCGAGAGTTATATTTGTACCTGATCTGGCTCTCCCTCACTGCGTCAGTGACCAACTTAACTCATATCTCTTATCTTCTTCATATCTGCCAATACTCTCACACCTATTAGATTCCTGAATTGTGAATTTTAACCTGCGTACGACTTTAACACGTTGACGACAACGCGCGTTTTGGGTTTTTGCACCGCGTGGGACCACGGCGATTTTGCAGGCGCCGCCGCCTCACATCAAATCCGTGAATTTTGAGCTTTAAATACGCAAAACTCGGATGCAACAAAATGTTTAGA